TTGTGCCCAGGGTCTGGGCCCGGGGACGGGGGACCGGGGCGGGTTTTGTGCCCAGGGTCTGGGCCCGGGGACGAGGGAGCCGGGCGGGTTTTGTGCATAGGGTCTGGGCCCGGGGAGCCGGGCGGGTTCTGTGCCCAGGGTCTGGGCCCGGGGACGGGGGACCGGGGAGCCGGGCGGGTTCTGTGCCGAGGGTCTGGGGCAGTCTGGCCCTGCAGACGAGAGCGCGGCGGCTGGACAGGACAGCGGAGGAGGCGGGCCCGGGGGCGGCCCGACTGGAGGGGGCGGCTCCGACGCGAGCCAGGGCCCGGCAGCGGGTGGGGGCCCAGTGCCGTGAGCTCCGAGCGCTGCCCGGCTCCCCGGCCCCGCTCTCTGCCCGGGTGGGAGGGAGGCTGCGGCCATGGAGCTCGCGGGGGCCCTGCAGCTCGGGGAGCTGGCGGCCGCCTTCGCCCGGGTGCCCGTCTTCCCGCTCTTCGACCTGGGCTACTTCATCGTCTCCATCCTCTACCTCAAGTACGAGCCAGGTCAGTGCGGGAGCGGTGTCTCTGGGGGTCACGGGCTGCCTGTGCCCCATAGCCGACACCGCAGCTTAGCCAGGGGGCCCCGCTAGGGCAGGACAGCTGCTGGGGGCCCGCTTTCCCGGCAGCGCAGAAAGTGGGGGAATGGGGGGGTGGGTTCCCCCTCCGTCTCCCTCAGGGCTTATGGGGGGTCACCCATCCCCAAATCCCCCTCCGACTGCCCCAGACCCTCAAGCTGGCCCATGGCCAATGGGGTCCCTTATTCCCCTTCATCCCCTCCAGCAGCCCTCCCATAGCCCTCTACACCCGACTGCCCCATCGTCTCTTCCTTCCATTCCCATGCCCTCTGGGATCCCCTCCCCAGGGGGTGTGCAGCACAGGCCGCGTCTATATAAGGTCGGGGACAAGCAGGTCTGGTAAGTGATCATCGACTTCAGAAAATAGCCTCTGTCACTCAGCGGGTCGGGAGAGGGGTAGCGAGGGACAATACGCTGCCCTCCGGCAGGGGGGGAGATGGAAAATCACAACAGAGGAACTGCTCTCTAGATCCCTGCACAGAAGTGTCTCCCTTGCCCATACTTCACTCCCACTGAAATATACAAACTAGGCAGATGCCCACTACGCTTAGAAACAACAAACTGGCATAGAGAGTTCAGGAAACACTGGCCAGGAGACCCTAGGAGGATCCACAAGGTAACCATGCCAAGGTTGAAAATAAGAAATTTCGACATCAGTGTTCAAAATACCAAGAAGTATAAGCCTGAAGCATCCTCCAATTAACTGATTCTGCTAATAAAAAGCAAGGAAGAAAAAGTTAACAGCACTAGGAGAAAGGAAAGAGATGGCACCACACTATGTAGTATCCCATCACTGAAGCAATCTGGACAATAATGCCAGATAGGGCTAAAGGACTGTGAAACTGTCCTAGAGCAATGCTGGTTAGACTGTGATAAGTGGAACACTCAGTGTTCCTGTGCATGAACTTGGGCAAGACCTGTAGCTTGTCATGCTAAGAAAGATCTTGAACACAGGAGTTGAGGGGTTCCAACATGTGGGATGGGCAAGAGTCATAGATGGAAAATGTGCCTAACCTAAGGCCAAAGGAAAGAAATGACAGACTGTAGTCTGCTCTGTAGTAATCTGTCATTTAGTCAAGAAAATAAAATGAACATAGATACAGCTGCATAACCCTATTCGGAGTAGGCAGTTGATGTACTGACAGAGACACTTGGCATTACTGTACTCTAACCTATGGCAATGACTGCATAGTTTGTCATACCAATTAAGATTTTTTTAATTGCACTGAATTGGCTGGGATATAGAGGTAGAAAAAGGTGCCTGTGCATGAAAACATCAGTAAATAGCATTGAGTACTTGCAGTGCTTTATGGTTCAAAGCACTGTACTGACTTAAGAGTAAACGATCTTGAGCAGTTTAGTATCATCTGCAAACTTTGCCACCTCACTGTTTACCCCTTTCTCCAGATCATTTATGAATAAGTTGAATAGGATTGGTCCTAGGACTGATACTTGGGGAACACCACTAGTTACCTCTTTGAAAATTTACCATTTATTCTAACCCTTTGTTCCCTGTCTTTTTTTGTAACCAGTTCTCAATCCATGAAAGATCTTCTCTCATCCCATGACAACTTAATTTACATAAGAGCCTTTGGTGAGGGACCTTGTCAAAGGCTTTCTGGAAATCTAAGTACACTATATCCACTGGATCCCCTTTGTCCACATGTTTAACCCCTTCAAAGAACTCTAATAGCTTAGTAAGACATGATTTCCCTTTACAGAAACCATGTTGACTTTTGCCCAACAATTTATGTTCTTCTATGTGTCTGACCATTTTATTCTTTACTATTGTTTCAACTAATTTGCCTGGTACTGACGTTAGACTTACTGGTCTGTAATTGCCAGAGTGTGACTGTCTGTTCTCCAAAAAAAAATAAAAAAAAAATGCAACAAAGATTCCCATTAATAGCATCATTTTTCTCCATCAGTGCATTAAAAAATGGTTCCTGATTTGACTGGTTTTGAGCTCAGCGTGACAACTAGCAGAGAAATCTTCTCTTGGAAACTAATTTTATTTGGTTATAAAATAATAAAAACAAGAATTCTCAGTTACTTCCTGGTAAGATGAGTCTAATCAGAAGGAAGAGTACATGAATCCTTTGAACCACTTAGCAGCAGGTCTACTTAACTGGACGGGGCTAGCGCTGGGAGGATGGGAGGGGAGGGGAGTGAATTAGTATCCTCTCCTTTTACTATAAGAGACCTGGGTTCATACTGCAGCTGAAGCCGCATCCTAATGTCCACCAGTGCTGCCACAAAATTTGGCAGCTTCTGCTCAGTAAGAGACCAGAACTGCTATAGCAAATCAGGAATGAGATGCATTAGCAGAGATGTGTGAGGTCCTGTAACTAGTATTGCAGATCAGAATTAATGTGCAGTGGCAGATCAGTGTGTGCACAGCTCTCATGGCCCCTGCCTGCATTATGCCTGCATGGACTAGCCATGGCTGACATCATTGCTCAAAGAAACCATAAATGAGAGGTCTCTCTCTGCCAGTTGACTATGCCCATCTAAAGGCATTTTGATATTTGTCAGTGTGAAAATATTCACACTACATCCACCTAGCAAGTCATTCCTCTAACGAGCATTTAGACCAACAACAAAAGCATGGAAATTAAATCTGTCATTTTTAGACTTCATGTTCTGAATTCTGCTGTTGCTTCACCTGTGCTACTCACTGAGGTCATGGGAGTACCAAGCGGATATTGTAGAATGCAGCCCTTCTGGTTTTTGCATGGATTCCATGTATATGCCTTGTCACCATCCTTATTTGTGCCAAAGAGAGAGGTCAAAGCTCCTGTAAATGGATTGGAATTAAATTAGCTTGTACAGGAATTCTGCCACCAAAGGTTTGATTGTAAATGACTTGTTATTAGACCATGCTTTTCAGATAAGAGTGATTTGTGTCATCTTTAATGTAATTTGGTTAGTATCCAGTTCTAGAGGGTAGCAAACCTGGGCAGTATGACTTGGAAATTTACCAGAACCGAGAAGGTCCCTGGAACACCCTAAAAATCCTAAACTGAAGGGAGATGTAAACTTTACAAATATTCTTAAAGTTCTCCATGCAGTGCCTTTGAGGCAGCATATCTGGGGTTCAGGAATTGTTCTGTTTGAATGGATATTTCATCCCTATACAGAATCAGTCAGCTTTTGGACAAGGTGACTGGTTGGACATCAGCAATATATGAAGATGTCCCTCAAAAAAAAAAATCCACCTCTGAATTTGTCAGCATAATTGCCTAATAAATAAGGAATAATCCATGTCAGTGTGACTTTGGCATGCTCAGATTCTGTTTTATTCGGTGTAAAGTAGATTTCTGTACTAGAGGATTTAAATAGAGATTTGTGGTTTTCCTTGTTTGATCACTTACAGGCCACTCCCAACAGGAAGCCCTGAGATGAATACTTAAGTGACTAAAAAAATAAATAAAAACATGATTTAAGTATGCAAGCCAGGTAAAAACCTTCTTGGGTTGCAGAGCAGTGTGTGTAGCCTCTTGCTGCGTTCCTAGTCTCATTCAGTCTATAGCTTCTATAGTTGAGATCAGCGAGTGGATAGTAATATACTATTTGCTTTTTGGGTGAGATTACATGGTGTTGTATGGCAGATGAGATCAGCGATGATGTATGTAAACTTCAAGGCTGATATTAACTCCTAAAGACACTGCCTAAAAAGCTATCATAGTTATTTTATTTTTACTGATTTTTCAGCTGTCCCAAACATATTTGAGAGAGAGTTCTCTTTATAGCTGAGTAGTGTGGGCTAGGCATAATTTGACTAAGGCAGGCTCCAGTCATTATTACTGAAGTGAGGCTTTGTTGGTAATGGTGTATAATGTTAACTTAGCAGAACAGAAATTTACCATCCTTTCATTCTATGGCCTGCCAGTGTACTTACTGAACTGAGTTCTGTCCCCTGCAGACAGGGGCCCCGTTGGGTAATTATTTGCCAGGTGTAATAGCTGCTTTCACCTCAAAGGATTCCAACTTGGACAGAGCAGGGAGGGGGCAGCTCTGATGAAGGAAGTGTTCTGACAGAATATTTTAAAATAATTTCTCATTGCATTCATAATCTTTACTGCCCAGAACTTTATTTATTTTTGGCATGCATTTGTGCCTATCATTTTTGAGTATCAGAGGGGTAGCCGTGTTAGTCTGAATCTGTAAAAAGCAACAGAGGGTCCTGTGGCACCTTTGAGACTAACAGAAGTATTGGGAGCATAAGCTTTCCTGGGTAAGAACCTCACCTGACTTGCATCTGAAGAAGTGAGGTTCTTACC